TTTCCTCCTGGCCTGTTTTCTTTCACAGAAAAGRCTAAAAATTCATACAGTCAGAGAATCATGGAATGGTTTGGGCTGAGAGGACCTTAAATCTCATGCATGGGCTGGGATGACTTCTACTATCCCATATCCCATCATCCATACCATCCCATTGCTCATACCCCATCCAACCTGGCCTTAAACACCTTTTAACTGCCTTTTAGTCCTTCTATCTTATTTTTCCCTTTGTACAAGAAAACTTCAGGGTGTAAAGAGCAAAGGAGAAATTTCAGCCAGGAATGGGGTAACMCTGCAGTTGAACAGAGGATGATTGCTTGGGTCAAGATTCCCATGCAGTGCATGGAAAAACCCTTCTGCTACTAAAAATGTGTCCAAAATGACTCTTTTTTTTTTTTTTCCTCTGGAAGGAGACCTGCCCTTCCTAGGGTCTGCAGGGCTGCATGTCCCAGSATAGCTCTGCAGAGCAATGAGAGCCTTACTTCAAATTTTTAATTACACACTGATAGGGAAAATAAGAGCCTGAGTGGCATCTTCTCTTCTGGCTGGGAGGGAAGTGCCCCCAGGGATTTCCTCCCCTGATCTGCCATCACCCCTCTTTGTCCCCAAATTGCATTTTCTCTACTCTCATCCAGGCAGGAGCCAAATATCTCCTTTCCAAGAAAAATCCAAGGAGTTTTGCTTCAAAGAGACTATTCCATGGTGATTATTCCRTTAGAAAATAAACCAAGCTCTCCAAAACACATTTCATTAACCATCTGAATGCACTTTTTCCTGATTATTTTTCTCCTTGGAGGGTTTAAAGAGGTTTCTGGATAAACTAAGTGGAATTTGAGCTTGAAATTTGGCTTATGTCAAAGTGACAAGATGCTTATGAGGCCTATGATTAAAAACTTTCTATAAACTTTCTTATACATTATCAATATAAGAATGTAATGACTTTTTACATATTATTATTATGCCATGTAATAGCTTTCAATATATTATCAATAATAGCCTTTTCATATATTGTTATAAGTTTTTATATCGGGTATAAGCAACATACAGTCAAATCCAAATTTTTTGCTGGCTCCAGGGAGTGAGGGTGGGATAGAGACAGRCCCTGGGACTTCACCTCCAAAGCCCATCAGGTTACCCCAAAACCATCTCCCACAAACTATCTGGATCTTTCTCTGCCTTTGCTGTGACTCATTCTCCAAATAAACCCAGAGTAGTGTGAATAAAAGTGTTTTGCATGAATTAAAGTAATAAAAAAATAATATAAAATCAATGAGAGGCAATGAAGGAGATGAACCTGTCTCTTTCCCCAGATCATCATTAAACCAAAGTCAGTGCTCTTCAGCTGTTACGAGAAAAACTCATCCCATTAATGATTTCTAACCTGGCACAGACCCAGTTTCATTATTTCCACCATGGATGAAGAAGGGCCAAACCTCCAGTGCAGATCGATGCAGCTCCTGTGTTGAGGCTGAGAGAAATTTTACCCTGGGATGCCAAAAAACCATTAAAGAGATGTCATGGATACACAGGGTGGGGTGGTTTCAGCCCTGAAAACTTCCACAATAAATTAAAAATTCAATARTAATCCATAGGCTACTGTTGCTTGRTTTGCAGCTGGGAYGTGACAAAATTTCTCTATTTCCACAAACAGGACCAGAACATCTTCTGAAATAAATTATTACAGTAAAATCCTGATTTTTAGATCTACACTGGACTAATTCATCCCAACCAACTCATTCACGGTTTTTTTCTTTTCCTAGCATGGGGTTTGGATAGCCCATGGATGAGTTTTTAAACCCAAACCAGGAAATCAGGAGCCATCTGTGCATTCACACATGGAATAAACATCTGTTATAGGACTGGGCTTCCACAGGACACAGACCTTAATCCTGCCTATTTAATTTTCTCCTTCCTATATTAATAACCATGCAYAGCCCACTTCCCTGCCAGACAGAAATTACTTTTATTTTAACATAATCCAGCCAGATGGATCACAAGACAATGGAGCATCAAGGCAAAATCCCCTTTAGATCCAGACATGCCCTATGGTCCAGGGATGGGAGCATTGCTGGGGTGATCATTCCTGGTCCAGCTGCTTTGRGCACCAAAACCTCAGGAGGGTTTTGGCTGTGCTGTGAGGCCATGTTAAAATCATTAAATACTGGAATTGGGCTGGAAGGGACCTTAAAGCTCATCCAGTCCCAACCCCTGCCATGGGAAGGGACACCTTACACTATCCCAGGGTGCTCCAAGCCCCATCCAACCTGGTCTTGGACACTTCCAGGGATCCAGGGGCAGCCACAGCTTCTCTGGGCACCCTGTGCCAGGGGCTCACCATCCTCACAGGAAAGAATTCCTTCCCAATATCCCATCCATCCCTGCCCTCTGGCACTGGGAAGCCATTCCCCCTTGTCCCCAGTCCCCCTCCAGCTCTCCTGGAGCCCCTTCAGGCACTGGAAGGGGCTCTCGAGTCTCCCTGGAGCTTTCCCTTCTCCAGGTGAGCCCCCCCAGCTCTCCCAGCCCCAGAGGGGCTCCAGCCCTGGGAGCAGCTCCGTGGCCTCCTCTGGATTTGCAGCAGCAGCTCCACATCCTCCAGTGGGGTCCCAGGGTTGGGTGCAGCTCTGCAGGTGGGGTCACATTTGAGTGGGGCTGAGGGGCAGAATCCTCAGAGATCCTCAGAATCCCCCCAGAGCTGCTGCCCACACTGAGGGATCAATCCAGGCTCGATGCAAATCAGTCCCAATGCAATTTATTTCCATTTATTTGCATTTCCCAACTGCCACAGCAACCTCCCAAGTTTCTCTGAATTTGAACTGTTTATTATGGCCCATTCTAACCCGAAAAGTTGGGAATGCTCCCCATTCTGGTCTTTAGGTCTCTATATATTCCAGCCATGCATCCCTACTCTTTCAAAAATCCCATGAGCATTCTACAGAATTTTTAATTGTTCTCTGTGGCATTTCCTCCCATTAAATGTCAGGATACCTCAACATAAAGTGCAACTGCAGAAGTGGGTTTTACTCCTCTGAAGGGAGACAAATTTGAAAGACAAATTCTTCCTTTCTCCCACAGGTCTGAGCTGGTTTTATTTCCTCTCCATCAATCCTCGGAGYAGCTCTGTTTCACAGGATAATGGATAATGGATTTGGAGCTGCAGTCAGCAACTGCTAAAAGCATCCTYTCCTCTCCCAGAGCTTTGACCATGAGATTTCCAGCCCAGCCCCAAACCCTACTGATCCCATTGATATTCTTCAGTAAACTATCCTGGTGCTGCAATTTTCCAAGATTTCCAAATCAGCCACAAACCCTGATACTTCTTCAACAAAAAATCCAAGCACTGTGATTTTCCAAGATTTTCAAAACAGCTCCAAGCCCTGATATTTCTTCAGTGTAAAATCCAAGTGCTGCATTATTCCAAGACTTACCAGCTAGCCCAAACTGTGTCATTCCACTAAATATTTCTTCAATAAACCATTGAGACACTGCAGTTTGCCAAGATTTCCCAAACCAGACCCAGACCAGAGACTGGTATTTCTGCAGTATAAAATCCAAATGCTACAATATTCCAAGAGTTTCAGATCAGCCTCAAACCCTGGTATTAYTTCAATAAAATCATCCAAGTACTGCAATTCTACAAGATTTTAAAATCAACCCCAAGCYCTGATATATCTTCAGTATAAAATCTAAATGCTGCAATATCCCAAGACTTCMAAACCAGCCCAAGATCCTGCTGATTCCATTGTTAAGTCTTTAATAAACCATCAAAATATTGCAGTTTTCCAAGATTCCCAAACCAAATCCTGGAGATCCCACCAACATTTCTTCAATAAACCATCCAAGTGCTCCAATTTCCCAACAGGCCCCAAACCCTGCTRTTTCTTCACTATAAATTCCAAACGCTGCAGTATTCCAAGATTTTTGAATCAGCCTCAAACCCTCCTATTTCTTCYACAAAACCATTGGAGTGCTGCGATTTTCCAGCCACGTATTTGGCTGCCAGTGTTGTTTCCTTTGCCCGTGTGTGCCAGAGGGGATGATTTGGGCTGGAGCGTGGGTTTGCGGGGAGCTGGCCGAGGAATTCCCTCGGGAAGGGCATGGATGCTGGAAGGGGATGGATGCTGGAAGGGGA